AAATAAGAGGGGTAGACAATTCCATTAAAATCGTACAGTGTGCTCCATGAAGCAATATTTTTTAAAAAAAGTGGGGGGACAATGAAGATAAAGGTTAGATTTAAAATGCAAATGTAATGAGCCTCGTTTTCGTCTGAAGTGTGTCTTAAATGAGGGACCGAGAATCTAAAAGTATTATGGCTTTTATTTCAAATTCCGAAGGTCAACATCCATCTACACGCGTACATTTAACGATGCGAAAGACGTTTCAGTTTCAACAACTGTTTAACTTTAATTGATAAATAACGTTCCATTCTTGATGGATTTCAAAAACGTCTTGTGAGTGATTAATTATTTTCCACCAAACAACACTTTTCCCATGGACGAAATGTTGTAAGCCTCTCGCTATGCTATTGTTATTTTCATGGAAAATGTTCAGACGAGGTAATTCTTTTGTTCCACCAGTTCAGACCTTCACAGACACGTACACTGGGTCGGATGATCCCATTATTTTAGTATTCCATTTGTAAGGTGGAAGTCCCACACAGACAGCTTATTAACACGAACTGCTGCTTTTTGTAATCGACTCCCGGGAGGATGCTTTCCAGACCAGTAAAATCTTAACTTCCTCCAGTCTAGGATTAACAGTTATCTTTTTCACATATCCTCATAAACTACACTTATTACCTCTTAGGATTATTGTTCGTAAAACAACTTTCTTCACTATTCCTCTATCTTGAGTTGCTCTTAGGGCTTAGATAGGTTGAAAATTAGTAAAATAAAAATGAAACTTCAGGACTTTTCGTCTGTATTTGCTCCGCAATTTAATCGCTGACATTTTTACCTTGACTTTTATATTTAGAGAATTAATCTAATTAAAAATTAGCTGATTGATGTTACCTTGTTCATCCCAACTCCAGTGTTCAGTAGACGGACTCGTCCGTCCACTCGTTAGAGGATATCAGCAATTGATTGCTTACATTTCTTGTGTCTGTACGTTCGCGCGTATATATATATATATATATATATATATATATATATATATATATATATACAAAAAATAATTACGCATAGAATCAATCAGCAATGTTAATGTCGCCAATAATAGCATTAATATTGGGATTGATTCTATGCGTGATTATTTCTTTTGTATATAAATTATATGCTGTCTAATGTTTTATATATATATATATATATATATATATATATATATATAAATATAATTGATAATATTAATGGTCAATATATATATATATATATATATATATATATATATATATATATATATATATATATATAAATAAAAAAGAACAGTAAGATATATAATCCGGTGTTCTTATAGATATTTTTATTTTACAAAATAGTGCTTAATGTAAATTTACAGAACATTAATATTATAAATTAATTGATTTAAAATATATTTTTCTTTTCGCTACACAGTTCTAACCATGTAAAAGATGGTTAGAACTGTAAAAAAAAAAATTTTAAATCATTTTAAATATATATATATATATATATATATATATATATATATATATATATATATATATATATATATATATTAATTCATAGAATCCAGGTAGAACTCAATGTCTAGGACAGAGTAAGAATATAATATATTTGCCGATTTCTTTTTTTTGAATTTTCAGGTTTGATGATTTGGATCGTGCTTACAATTCCAATGTAATAAATTATAACCATGAAATATTATTGTTTGAGACTTTTGTATTATATATGTATATATATATATATATACTCATGAAAATTTTTCAGATATATATTTCTTTATTTCAAATGAGTCTAACACAAGATTATATTGCGGCAATTTCACAAGTATCTAAGACATTTATGTTTTGAATATCAGCATTAAAATACCCAAAGACGAACCTGACGATTAGTACCAGGTTGGGAGAAAGACCCAAATTCTTCAAGGAGCAAACAGTTCCAAGGTCAAGGGTGACTTTGTCAAAGCGAGTACCGAACCGGACACGTTCGAATTTTATTTTGGAATTTCTTTCGAGAAGAAAGTAGACAAATAGAAAAAAACTGTAACATAAGATATTTTTATGTTTATACATTTTTTTTATCGATACAAATATTTAAGTAAATGCTCTGTTTATAATAAACAGTATTAAACAACATTTACTGGTTTGAATGTCCGAGAAATTTTCACAGAAAATATTCGTCCTCCGACAGGATTGCGAAACTGTATCCTATACGGAACCGTCATTTAGGTTGACGTGCCTTAACCGATTTGGCTACAGAGGAGCGTTCGGTTAGCAAGGTCGATTTTACTGCCTTTAAACGTCTATCTTCCATGAATCTATCACGTACATTCATATCTGCTCATGGCGTATCCAAATGTAAACAAATGACGTCACACATTATGAAATGGACAATTATTTAAGATATTTTATGTTTATACATTCTTTTTATAGATACAAATATTTAAGTAAATGCTCTGTTTATAATAAACATTCAAGCCGGTAAATGTTGTTTAATACTGTTTATTATAAACAGAGCATTTACTTAAATATTTGTATCTCTAAAAAGAATATATGAACATAAAAATGTCTTAAAATAATTGTCGAACTTTGTCCATTTCATAATGTATAAATAGTTGTATATAACCTCTAACTAATAGATAAAGAGACAAACAACTAAACATAAACATAATTTGTTTGAGATACATACACAGACATTTTATTATTTTGATAACTGTATCCCTTCCGGGTGTAAGCTATTAAAATTACCTACATTTTCCTTTATTTCCTGTGAATTGACAGGTATACCTGTGAAAGATGGTTGAATGATTTTCCGTTGCCTTCACCACGGTAGGAAAATTCAGAATATTCCTTCTCTTAGACTGGCTACCATCCAAGTCGAGAGAACCCAGTTTACACTGCTATTTAACTCATAAGTGATGACTGAAAATACGGCTTCATGTCTTAACAAAAATCATTTGTGTAAAAGTGACTGGCATGGAATTCGAACTCTGCATACCGATACCATTTTCTGTGCATATTTCCGCTACACTGTCCGCATATACATACATACATACATACATACATACATACATACATACATACATATATGCGAACCCTGGCTCATTCGTGGCCAACAATCAATAGGAAATTAATTGTCTAGTTGCATAGAAGTCGTTTACTCAGGCAGTGTTCACTTTGTTAACGGCGATCTTGCCGTTAACAAGAAAAAATAAAATGGAAGTGATAAAATAATAAATGGAGATATAACATAGTTGAGATAAATAAAAGAGTTTTTTATTCTCCGTGATTTATAAAGTTCAATCATTCCTTGATATCGTATATCAGTCGTGAGAGACTGGGAGTTTGTTCGAGTTATAACACAGCGTAGACACGTGGAGAAAATCAAAATCATATGTAGTTGAGTGAGATAGACTCATGGGAGAAATATTCAACGAATTATCGCATTGTAATAGTCTCTGCTACTGTTGGTTTCGTCAGGACCGAAGGAATAGCTGTTAATTGAAGCGCCTTGAAATCGGTGCTGATGGCTTGGTTAAGCTTGCCTGTCGTGGGGGTTGGTCGCTAATATCAGCCTGGCCGGGATCTGCCCTCGTAGATGAAATAAGCATTAGCTTTATAGTGTGTCAAAGGCTCAGTGCTGCGTAGACCGCATCGGCCTTTATTCTGATTGGCCCAAAAAAGATATTTTATGCCCCTGGTATTTGGGAAGGTATATCAGGTGTTAAATGAAAGTGATTTTGTCATATGAGCTGTGAATGGGTTCCGACTGTGTACAACCGCCTATTTATGTTAAAACGAGTAAAGGAAGTCCTCGACTTACGTCGAAAATCCGTTCCTACCGTGCGACGTAACCTGATTTTCGGCGTAGATCGGAACTCCTCTGCATAATCACCCGCGAATCTGTCTTACGCTTAGGAGACATAATGAAGGTAAAAATGTTCTCCCCCCCCAAAAAAAAAGCAACCCAAACGAGAGATAGCGAATTTAGCCCAATCCAATATGACGTACAGCCGGTGAAGAAACAGCACCGTCTTCCTCATATACTGCCGCGTGAGGACGCATTAAATGATGGGAGATGGCACCGTAACCACGAAGCGCCTTACGTCGGGTCCGACGTAACCCGAGGTCCTTCTGTAGTGTCAAAAAGAGTGGAAACAAAAAGAACGTATTTTTATTATAGCGAACAGAGCGATTTTAACCTAGATTTAATTAATAAAAAAAATAAAGCAACAATATAAATAAATTAATTATTAATATAAATTACTATCTAAAAATGTAAATGAAAAGCATTGTTGATCTTTTAATTGCAGTCTCTTCTGTTGGCTGAAATAGTCACGCATTATGCAGCAGCGTCAGCCATTTGTGTTCGAATTTTGGTTAGAAACCGGCATATTAATGTCTAATTCTCCAGCCAGGTAGGAAACTCATTTCTACCCCGTGGATTAGAGTAATATTACTACCCTTATCTTACTGACCTTATGCTACAGGGAAGGCAGCCTTTATAAATAAAATGTGAATCTGTTAAATTAGGGCATTTAAAAATAAAGAAAATAAAAAAAAAATTGCGTGGCTTCTTCCAAGTAAGGTTTTGCGTTCTTTAAAAAAAAATTCTAGTTAAAATAAAATTTCTCATAGTTTTCTGGCCTGCTTAAAGGGGCGGCTAGTTCTAGTGAAACACTGAATGACTGATGATGACAAAGAGATCCGTCGAAACCTGATACGCTTCTGAAAAAATTTTTTTTAGAAGTTATATTTAGAAATGCATTTTAGCCCCGTTAAGTACAAACGCTTATGATTCTAAAGGAGAGACCTGTGTGTCCGTCTGTAGAGGCCGGCGGGTAAATCAAAATGATCATACGCACACACAAACACAGAGAGAGGTGGGTGCAGAGAGAGAGAGAGAGAGAATCGCACACGTACAGGCGCATACATAGAAAAACATCAGAGATTTTTAAGAAGAAAGAAAAAGGAATATATAAGAATGGATTAAAATATAACTAGATATAAGACTACTTAGATAGATAGATAGATAGATAGATAGATAGATATGAACAGACTGGCATAGATATGAATAAACTGGGATAGATAGATAGATAGATAGATAGATAGATAGATAGATAGATAGATAGATAGATATGAACAGACTGACATAGATATGAATAAACTGGGATAGATAGATAGATAGATAGATAGATAGATAGATAGATAGATAGATAGATATGAACAGGCTACATAGATAGATAGATAGATAGATAGATAGATAGATAGATAGATAGATAGATAGATAGATATGAACAGACTGACATAGATATGAATAAACTGGGATAGATAGATAGATAGATAGATAGATAGATAGATAGATATGAATAGGCTAGATAGATAGATAGATAGATTGATAGATAGATAGATAGATAGATAGATAGGTATGGACAGATGAGATGGATAAATAAATAGACAGACAGACAGACAGATTGAAAGTGTAATTCCACTTTACAAACCTTAAAGGAGATGCAATCCCAAACAAATATCGAACTATGTATTTTTACTTTTGGTTAACACAAATGCGAAAATACAACCTGGGTGTGTCTGTGGTTATCTGTGTGTGTGTGTGTGTGTGTGCGTGTGTGTGTGTGTGTGTGTGTGTGTCCGTGCGTGCTGTAATATTTATGAAACTTGTACTGACGTCAGCATTCTTACAAAACATAACCTAATTCGCTGAATGTTTCACTCCGTTCATTATTGATGTGTTTACCTATTTATCTATTTATGTGTGCGAGTGTTGCCTACTTTCTCTTCTAACCTAGATATATTCTTTCTCTCTCTCTCTCTTTATATATATATATATATATATATGTGTGTGTGTGTGTGTGTGTGTGTGTGTGTGTGTGTGTGTGTGTGTGTGTGTGTAGAAATAGATAATAAAATTAAATGTTTACTTATTGTTGTGGTGTCCTAACCTCTAATGAGTTTATATTCTATAAGATTAGTAGGAGAAAAGGCCTTGGAGAACGGGTGAATAGCGGCCTTGTGCCACATACATCACTCGTGGAAGTGGGCTGTTAAATATTAACAGTCGAATAGATCTGTTCGCACTGTGTTGGTCAAACTCTCTGCCTCCGAGCACAGAGGTTCCCCAGACGAGGCTATGGGTCGAACGGCAGAATCTCGTCTCGGGAAACAGCTACCCGGCCCCGTTTTATACGGGGTCTACGAGGAATTATTGGCCGAGCCTACGTGCTCGGATTGCCCCACATTAAACTCGGCATTGTGCCACATCCTATCTCGTGAAGAGGCTGGTAAATATAACAGTCGAATAGATTGAACGCTGGGTCATCCGACACTAGTTGTGTAATACTATTTTGTCGTACTCACTGTTTAATATATGATATATCAGTTTTGTTATTTCTTTAACCATTTGCTTATCTTGTCCCTATACAGAGTTTTTGCAATCAAGATTTTCCGATAGTTGTATGTAATGTTCCTAAACCGGTAGATAACGATAAGTAAACATTTTAATTTTATTTATTAATATTAATGTCTCTATCTCTATCGAGCACTGTAATTCCAAAGACTGTTTACTTAAAACAAAAACAAAAAAAAAAACTTACCTTCTAGACAGTTTCTGTTAAATAACAGGGTAGACTGGGCTTTCTAACTTTGGTTGGCAACTGGTTTAGGAGAAAGACAACACTGAAGTCAAAACCATATAACCTCATGTGTAGTCGACCTAGGATTACATCATTGTATTTTTATTATTATACTTTCCTGTCTCATTCGTTAGCTCGCCTATTTCAGATAATGAGATAGTCCATTGTTATGGTAACATGTACTCGGATTTGTCGTAAGAACGAATTCGGTAATACATTACGTTTTATTTCTCTATTTACATTATTCGGACTATTGTCCTCATCTTTGTTGCTATATTTATCACAACGTTTCGGCTGCTGTACGCTCCGGCCTTCTTCAGGTGGTTGGAATATCGAACTGAACCCTTTACTTCGCTCGCTGGTTTCACGTGCCATGTCTAATGGATGTCAGTTATCAGTTATCTCCAGTTAATTCACCTCACCAAGTTCTCCACTGCCTTAACCAGGTATTGAACTCAAAACTCTTTGGGTCCTGTCACTGGATCTAACCAAGGACACATGAACACATGGCACAGTAGATAAAGGCGACATTCCAACCACCTGAATAAGGCCAGAGCGAAACGATGTGATAAATATGGCGCCAAAGATGAGGACAATAGTCCGAATAATGTAAATAGTGTACATAATACCTGATCTCAGAAACATAGACAGATACTAAAGGGTCGAAACGTTGTAATAAATATGGCGACAAAGATGAGGACAATAGTCCGAATAATGTAAATAATGTACATAATCCCTCATCTCAGAAATATAGACAGATACTGAAGGGCCGAAACGTTGTAATAAATATGGCGACAAAGATGAGGACAATAGTCCGAATAATGTAAATAGTGTATATAATACCTCATCTCAGAAATACAGACAGATACTGAAAGGTCAAAATGTAATAAATATGGCAACAAAGATGAGGACAATAGTGTACATAATACCTCATCTCAGGAATATAGACAGATACGTTTTATTTCTTTTACGGCAGTTTTTTTTTTGTTTTTGTTGTTGCTTTTTTGTTTACTTTTTTTGCATCTATTAACTTGTAATGATTTGAAAATCCGAATTCTTTTGGGTTGTAAAATAAAGGTTTTAATTGATACACAAGTAATGTTTTCAGAAATATCAGAGGAAGATGAAATATGTATAATATTTTAAGTACAATGCAATTTCAAAATGGCGTCAATATTTCGGTCATTTCTTGTCAGCATGAGTCAACTGGAATTATAAGAAATTCATTTGAAAGAAAATATGAATAAAAGATTATGCTTTTCAGTTTGGTAAAACTAGAACCAGACAAACGTGGCTGACAGTCTTAGATTTGCTGCAAAAACATTGCGTGGTCATTAATTTCATTTTTTTTTTTTTTAAAGTTCCATGTTTAAATCTCGAAACCAATATATATATATATGTGTGTGTGTGTATTATTAACTACAGGTAGACTGTTTCGCTGTATCTCAGCTCATCAGTATGTCTAGACGTCCGGTTGCCACTAGCTAGGATCGAAACCCGGCTGAATTGGCGTCAGTCGGAGATTCTAACCTAAAGCCGTTGGCGCACGGCAGGGATGAAGGTGAATCTAAAATTAGCAATGTCAATGTGATTACTGGCGAAATCATTTCGCTAGCAAAACTTAATGTGACATTAACTTACTATCAATTCCTTGAATAACACGGTCCTTATATTTGAATTGTTGTCAAGTGGAATTGATGATTCTGGGTCTAGTACTTTCGACAATTTCAAATTGTCATCTTCAAGGCATAATATTTCCAGTTACAGGTAAATATACTGCACAATTTAATATATCAGGTCATCCGATAAGTTCTGTCCGAATTTTAGCTTTTTTTTAAAGTGAACGAAATCTAAAGAGTATTTTATAATGTCTAATGAAGCTAAACATTATTTTTATGTTTAGATGCATTTAAACTGATCAAATTTTATTTCAGAGAACAATAAAATTAAATTTTGTTTGATTATACCCCTGCTAACATGGAAGTACGCAAGAATCATTTGAGGCACATAATGCTTTATGAGTTCAAGAAAGGAAACTCAGCAACCGAGGCGGCTAGAAACATTCACTCAGTTTATGGTGAGGAATGTGTGAATGAAAGAACTTGCAGAAGATGGTTTGCAAAATTCAGAGGTGGAGATTTCACCCTTGAAGATAAAGATCGAACCGAACGTCCAGTTGAGTTTGATGAAAAACTTCTTGAAGCAGCCCTTGAAGAAAATCCTGCTTTATCAGTTGAGGAATTGGCAGTGGTTCTCAGTTCAAACCATACAACTGTTCATCGTCATCTTCAACAACTTGGAAAAGTTCCTAAATTTGGAACATGGGTGCCCCATGAATTGTCTGAAGACAACCTCAAATTCCGAGTTGACATCTGCTCTTCTCTTCATTCTCGCCAACTTGTTTCACCTTTTTTGGATAGACTTGTGACTGGCGACGAAAAATAGATCTTTTATCGAAATGTTAAGCGTCGTAGACAGTGGCTTGGTAAAGGTGAAGGACCTCAGCCACAGCCGAGAAGGGAACTTCATGGGCAAAAGATTTTTCTTTCAATCTGGTGAGATCGCCAAGGAATAATCCACTTTGAATTCTTACCACCTAATGCAACAATTAATGCTCAAATATACTGTCAACAATTAGAGCGTTTGAAACCAGCTTTGAGGAAAAAAAGACCTGCTCAAGTGAATCGAAAAGAGGTGATGTTTCATCAGGACAATGTGCGACCCCACGCGGCAAGAATCAACTCACAAAAGATCGAAGAACTTGGTTGGGAGAAAATTCCTCATCCACCTTATTCTCCTGATCTTGCTCCTTCAGACTACCATTTGTTTCGTAGCTTAAAGAATTATTTGGAAGAAACAGCTTGTATAACACAGGAAGAGGTTAAAACTGACATTTGTGTGTTCTTCGAATCAAAGCCAAAAGAATTTTACAGTAATGGAATTAGTAAGCTTGTTAATAGATGGAAGGAAGTCATAGATAATCAGGGAAAATACATTGTTGATTGAATCTGTAATTAAATGTTAAATTTGGTCACTTGTTTTCTTTATTCAAAATTCAGGCAGAACTTATGGGATGACCGGATATATATATATATATATATATATATATATATATATATATATATATATATATATATAAGTAAACATTGAAGTCAACACTCAGAGGCCTGATGATTGCGTCTAGCATGAAACAGTCTGTCGCCTCTGAGTGTCCATTTTAATGTTCACTTTTATATTTACATACGCTCTATCTCTGATATTAAGTACTTTACCCTTTAAATATAGCACACCTTAAAACTACATATATATATATATATATATATATATATATATATATATATATATATATATATATATAATTGTAAGAATAATATTGCATTAACAATTTTTGGGAGACATCAATGTTTTCTTCAGATCCAAGTCCTACTATCTATCCCATAGCTGGTAGAGGAGAATGTACGAATTCATACGTTTGACAAGGATATTTGCGCGTAAGTGAACTTAACTCGATCCTGATGTCCCTTATTCTGTGCCTTTGTCCATTGCATCACCAACATGTCTCCAACGGTGCAAAAAGCGAGAAAAAAAAATGGTAATATAGGAACAAAACAAAAGACTCTTTAAAATTTCCAGATAAATGATGTTTGTGGGCGGTGCATCTGAGAACGGCCGGAGATTCCACATAAAAAATCAACGAAGATGAAGACCCAATTTTATAATTATCTTTAAATGTGAATTAATATTTTAAAATTGATTTCTAAAAAAAGTTTTAATTGATATTTCTGTCTTAAGTCTAAAAATAAGCAACAATTTCTTTTTTTTTGCTGCGTATAATGAAATA